ATTTAATTCAAATAATAATTTGTTGTTGGCCGCAAACGATTAAAAAAATTAGTTACTTTTAACTCTCAGAAATACGCTAAAGAAGTATCGCTAGTAGCGCCACCACTCAGCCGTTATCATCGTAACAAAAGTAGAACTTTTAATAATCAGCTGTTAAACGCGTATGTTACAAACGAATGTTTTTGAGAATAATGTTAAAAAATATCGGCACGTGGCACGATTTGTTGTGTTGTTGAGTGTATTTCGAGAGGAAATCCTAGGTTAATATTTTACCGGTTTTCCAATAAACAGTGTTAATTCGAATGAAGAAATAAATTTCAAACAGTCCCTGTAAATATAAATTGTATCTAGTATTACTAGACTAGTAATGATTAACGAGAAAAGTGTAAAAATCGTCAAACAAATAACTCGTCTAAATTCAAACAGCATTTAGCATTATTAAAAGCGTTGTTTAAGAAAGTCTCCACTCAACGGTAAAATAGCATTATATAATGCACTTACATAATATATATTATGTATTATACAGCCCGTTCAGAGTAAAACCGAATATAGGGAAACGTATGGCCTCGCCTCCCTCCAACGCGCGTCACAGTAGCTTGTGTGATAAACGACCTGACGAAAGGTCGAGCAGGTAAGACGACCTTGAAAATTAAATGATAATAATGCAAAAAATCTCATTGACATTCGCTTAGCTACTGTGTCGCGCGTTGGAGGGAGGCGAGGCCACGCCCTATAGGGCGTTTCCCTATATTCGGTTTTACTCTGAACGGGCTGTATATAATATTATGCAATTGCCATGAAATCGTAGGTATATTTTGTTGTTTAAAATGCAGTTGTCGGCGTTTCTTAGAGAACTCAAATATAAAAATGTTCGATTTTAAGGTTATATTTGTGCCAGAATTATTTTTTACTAATTTCTTAAAAATGTCCAACCTTAAATATAGATTATATTAGGTAAAGATATCATTAGTTAATTCTGCACCAAAAAATGTACTTACCGAATTGGATTCTTTGGCAAAACATGAAAATGCAACATTTAGTTCTTGAATTTTATTTATTTTATTTAATTTTAAAACAAAATAATTACCCATGATCCCTAACGTAACTATATAAGCATTTAAGCGTTGAGTTTCTTAACCAATGATATAGGTAAGGAATAATCAATCAAAATCGAGTACTAAACCAGTTTTTTAGTTTTTTCCTTGCAACGTAAAAACAAATAAAGTGCGCGATTTAGCTGTGCAATTGAACAAAATTTGTCGAGTAAGACTTCCTCTCTTTTGTGAAAAAACTACCAATTTATTTAAAAATGATATGCAGTTCGTATGCTTTAATTTTATTGTGACAATTCTTAAATTCACACAATGCCATCGAGCCCACCAGATGGCGCGCGCGTTAAGAAAACCCTATAATTCTTTAGCTTGTAGTCAAAGATGCTGACTAATCTTAAATTAGTCAAACTATTTACGTAGTAAAAAATAACTATTTAAAAGTTAAAACGACTATTTTATTAGTAAAATGCTGGTACAAATTCAAATAGTAGAATTGTGACTATTTCATTTTAAGAGAGTAGAGAATTTTTGGAATTCTAATTTTTGTTTCATTAATTTTTAAGTTTATATTGCGTTTTTTATTTTTTAAAACTAAGCCTAAGAATATTTATAACATGTTACTGTTAGTTTAATTTTATTTCAATGTATTTTCATGGATAACTTGACAGAATAAATTTTTGTAGTTATCATTGTGCATTTTTCTACTTAAATTTTTTGAATAAAATTTAGTATAGGGTCGTTTTGAGGGGTGGTGCATAGATTTTTTTTAAATCGCTAATATGAATTCTTAAAAATCTCAAAAACTGAAATACTTAGTAGGTCTTGAATTTTGTAAAAATACGTTTTTTTTTGCTTCAATAATACAGTTTATCGGGATCTACACTTTTAAACAAATCTAGTTAAAATCGCACAATAAAGATTTTACAGGGGTGAGTCGCAAACAAATGGGTCACACTGTATAATATAATATAAATTTTGACATACCCACAATCCACACAACAAGGTCTGTTCTATCTTGTACTAAAAATACAAAAAATCACTGCAACACTGCACAGTTTAACGGCGGCCATTTTTGTTGTTTACAATTTTTGTGCTTTGGGTTTGTGCTCTGTTTATACAGGTTAATAATCGTTTTAAACAGGTTAATAATCGTTTTAAACGTTGTGTTTCTCATAGTAAGCCTTAATCTTTTAAAAGAGGCCTTAAAGTGCTAAGAACAACCATTTTACTCCTCTATTGTAAAAAATAAACTTTATTCTATCAGGGCTGTCATAAAACTGTCAAATGTCAATTTTAAGGTTAAATTATATAACCCACAAATTAACCTTCAAATTGTCATTTGACAGCCCTGATAGAATAAGGTATATTTATTATAAAAGAGGAGTAAAATGGTTGTCCTTAGCACTTAATGAGATAGAACAGACCTTGTTGTGTGGATTGTGGACATACCTACATATTTGCAAAGTGTGTTTTTTAACTATAGTTCATTTTTTTTATCTGGACTCGTGTTTTTTGTTAGGTTGGTGGCTTATGCCAGTTTGACTTAGTATATTTAGTATTTAAAAATGGTACTTCTGCTAAAGAATTTAATTAAATACTTTGACACTGTCAAATTGACAATAATATTTATTATTAATAATTTACTTGTCAATTATAAATAAAAAGATAATTATGCCAAAAATAATAGCAACGAATTCGAATGTAAAAGCCCTTTTGAGGGCAAAACTTCATTTTGATGAAATTATACCAAATGCCACAATGGAAGAAAAAGTACATCGCCTTATGGACATTTTTGGAGTAAAAAAGTAACGAATTTGGTTTTATAAATATTACATCACACATTATTTTCACATTATTCACCATTGGACAACATTTACGGTCACAAAAAAATTTATTTTCTTTTATATAAATTCTTTTTAAAGCGAAGTTTATTATCCGCTAGGAATACTTTCTCTTCTGGGCTGTAAAGCAACCTATATTTAACTACTTTTTTTTATATGATTTTACTCATCCAAGCACCACCAAAGCCAAATTAATTGCATTTTTAACTACGAATTTCGACAACTCAACTTGACAACTGCCCAATGTAACCTACAATAATTTATACATAACCACAATTAGATTTATAACTAGCTTATATTTGTTTTAATCAATGCGACCAACTTGAGAACTGTAACCTTGTGGAAATTTTTCTCTGAAAAAGTCAGAATAATACTTATTAAGTCGGAAAAAGTCTGAATAAGTCTTATTAAGTCAGACTAATAGCAAGATTTGGGAGTCTTCTGGAAGAGTTAATAAGACTTTTTAAGACTTAATAGGACTTTTAGTAGATAAATGGTAGGTACCTACGGAGATAAAAATAAATATCCGAAATAATTCATAGAGGTTGTATTTGGTTATCGTAAAATAAAACACATAGAAAAGTATTTATTAACATTTTTGCTGTTGTTATAAGCCAAGTTTATTGCATAATTACCTATATAATAACATAGGTAAGATGTAATAACAATTATAATTTTATACATACGATGCGCTTGACATGCATGCTTTCATTGTTTTCACCATAGAAAAAGGAGTTGCCACTGTACGTTTTATTTTAATAGTTTCTTTTGATACATGCAAATATTTACCTATCTAAACATTGTTACAAACGAAATATCGAGAGACCAGCTCAGCTAGCTGACCAATTAGAGCACAGCTGACCCATGATTGTATCATGCAGCTGATCTGTCAGTGGGACACAGTGTTGTCGTTTGCAAGTATTTTACTCGAAAATCGGGTATTTTCGTAATATTTGCGGGTGATTTGCAAATTTCTATCAAAATAATAACAAAAGAAATTTTCAGTAAATAATATTGTATATTTACTAAATATGCACAATTATTTTATTCTATCCTGTTACATTTTTATTATTTTAGACTAAAATTTTTAGTATTTTGTAATTTATGGCCAGGAACTTTTATGGCAACACTGTACATAAACACGAAGATCAACCATATTTGTCTTATGAGTCTATCGAAAATATCATCTCCTTTTTCTATGGTGGAAATAATGAAAGCATCTCAAGCGCATCGTATCATACGATTCGTATGTATAAAATTATAATTGTTATAATTATTACATCTTACCTATGTTATTATACAGGTAATTATGCAATAAACTTGGCTTATAACAACAGCAAAAATGTTAATAAATACCTTTCTATGTGTTTTATTTTACGATAACCAAATTCAACCTCTATGAATTATTTCGGATATTTATTTTTATCGCCATAGGTATCTACCATTTCTCTACTAAATGTCTTATTAAGTCTTAAAAAGTCTTATTAACTCTTCCAGAAGACTCCCAAATCTTGCTATTAGTCTGACTTAATAAGACTTATTCAGACTTTTTCCGACTTAATGTCTTATTCTGACTTTTTCCGACTTAATAAGTAGACTTTTTCAGAGAAAGTAAGACTTTCTCAGAGAAAAATTTCCACAAGAGAATTTACCAACCAAAACCCTACATTTGCAACGTTGCCGCAGTCCAGATAAAAAAATGAACTTTAGTTCTTAATATAGGTAACTTAATATTTTTAAAATATTTAACTGTAATTATTGCGAAGTTTTAAGTACCTAGTAAAACTTTCACTTTTATAGCGTGTTTTAAGACTACATGTTAGTTTTTTGTTTTATAAATATTGCTCTTATTTGTATTATCGTTGATCATATTAAAAGGACTAATTTCTATTTTTGTTTCAGGGGTGCATTTAAATGTAACATTTGCGAAAAAGTATTGTCCAATCTAAGAGAACATTTAGAAAACGTACACTTAAAAAAATGTAAGAAATGTCCACATTGTGAATTCCAAACTCCTTACAATCGCCTCCTGAGGAAACATAAAAAAATAGTACACGAAGGTATCAAAGAAAAATGTACTTATTGCTCGAAATCGTTCGAAACAAAAATGTGGTTGGATTTCCATGTACAAAACAAGCATGGCGCGCAAAACAAAAAAGAACAGAAAATAACCGTCACAAACAAGTTTAGGAAGTGTGAAAATTGTCAGAAACATTTTAGAGAATTCGCAAGGTATAAAAAACATACCAAAATCTGTTTTGGCATCGACAAGGATTACTTTTATTGTCAGATTTGTCCGCACAAATCTGCTCGAATCGCCAACTTGTTAAAACACATTCGACTTCACAAGGACTACAAAACCTACCAGTGCGGTTTTTGCGAGTACGAAGTGCTTACGCAGGGTTTAATAGACCGTCACATTACAATAGAACATAAAGAATTAATCGTGAAACATAGCCAGTTGCTTTCGCAACCGATTTATTGGTGCGACACTTGCGATTTTCGGTCAATAATCAAAGACAATTTCGATTTGCACATCAGAGAAGAATGCTTCAAATCTAAAAAGTTAATTATTTCTTGACCAAAAAAATTGAAAACGATTTTTTTAAAATTGCAAATTTTACACTTTCTTTTAACGCACTAAAAATTGCGATTTAAAACGAAAAACATGGGGTGCATGCAATAGATAATAGTGGAGTGTGTGTCATCTGTCACCTGTCATCTTTTACCTGTCACCTGGGTGACAATTCGTAAAACGTCCCTTGTGGAAATTTTTCTCAGAAAAAGTTTTACTTTCTCTTAAAAAGTCTGAAGAAGACTTATTAAGTCGGAAAAAGTTTGAATAGGTCTTAGTAAGTCAGCAAGATTTGGGAGTCTTCTAGAAGAGTTATAAGACTTTTAGCAGAAAATGGTAGGAACCTAACTATGCGATTAAAATAAATATCGGGAATTATTTAGAGAGGTTGTATTTGATTTTTATAAAATAAAACACAAAAAAAAGTACTTATTAACATTTTTTCTGTGTTGTTATAAGCCAAGTTTATTGCCTAATTACGTATATAATAACATACAGTTCATTTTTTTATCTGGACTTGTGTTTTTTTGTTAGGTTGGTGGCTTATGCCAGTTGGCTTATGGACAAAAAGTAACGAATTTGGTTTTATAAATATTACATCACACATTATTTTCACATTATTCACCATTGGACAACATTTAAGTTCACAAAAAATTTTAATTTCTTTTATATAAATTCATTTCAAAGCGAAGATTATTATCCGCTAGGAATACTTTCTCTTCTGAGCCGTAAAGCAACCTATATTTAACTACTTTTTTATATGATTTTACTCATCCAAGCACCACCAAAGCCAAATTAATTGCATTTTTAACTACGAATTTCGACAACTCAACTTGACAACTGCACAATGTAACCTACAATAATTTATACATAACCACAATTAGATTAGCTTAGTTTGTTTTAATCAATGCGACCAACTTCACAACTGTATTTACCAACCAAAACCCTAAATTTGCAACGTTGCCGCAGCCAAGATAAAAAAATGAACTATGTGAGGTTTCTCTATGGTGAGGTGTAATAATTATAACAATATAATTATTATACTTTTTTACATACAATATAATTATTTTTTACATACAATATAATTATTTTACTTTTTTACATACGATGCGCTTGACTTGCTTTTATTGTTGCCAGTGTACGTTTTATTTTATTAGTTTCTTTTTATATACGCAAATATTCATCTAACCATTATTGCAAACAATTTTTAGACACCATATCGATTTTCTTAGCTGACCAATTAGAGCACAGCTGATCTGTCATGTGATCATCACATTGTGATGGCATCCTCCCGCGTTTTAAAGATAGCTCTCCTGTCACTACTAACTAACTAACTAAGTGTTGCCGTTTGCGGGTATTTTACTCGGAAATCGGGTATTTTCGTCATATTTGCGGGTAGAATTTTGAAGCCGGTAAAATCGGATATTGTATGTTTACTAAAAATGCATAATTATTTTATTCTATCCTGTTACATTTTATGAGTAAGTATAAGTATGAGTATAAGAGACGTATAACCGGACCCATTGCCTCATCGCTTCCGGGCCCCGCATAGCCCTCTGTTTCCTTGCGCCGATTTTCTTTCGCCACCAGCAACGGCGCGGCTTCACCCGTGTTTGCTGGTTGCGAATGTCCATTGCGTTCCGTACTGTCCTCTAATTATGGCTCGAGAGCGAAATGCCAATAGTTTTAGTAGCCATTCCCGGGTTCGCCGAGCCGATGCTATACGTCCAGTAGGGTAATAAAGGAGGTAGGACGGGAGGGATAGACAGTTTGGTGTTTGGGGGACAATTACGCCGACTTAAATCTAAGTACGGCGCGGTACCCCCTAGACCAGGCAGTTAGTATTACTCCAAACATTTGGGATTACTGTATGGAGTTGGGGAGTTGTTATTTTGCTGCAGGAGCCTACGTCTTGGTCTAAGTTTTTGTCGTTATTGTTCGTGTCCAAGTAGGATTGTTCCTGCACATGTGTCTTCAGTCTTGAGGCCGGAAACCATCAATAGATAGTTCAGTAGCTGGATATGTAACTTGTAGCTTTTGATGTTTTTTTTAAATTGTTTATTGCCGCAGTAGTGCAAAATTTCTAACAATTTTTTTAGTTATTATGTTGCCCAAGCACGTTTTGTGGTAGTTTTGTCTTTTTTTCTTAAATTCCAAAATTAAGTATTGCATTTATTTATTAGTTAAACAAATGACAAGCGCAATTATTCTGTTATAATCTATTGTGTTTACAAATCCAATATAGTTTGATTAGTATGCTGTTTTTACTATGTTAGTGTTTTAATGATTTATTGAGTTTATATTCAGTGTGTCAAATGATTATTATTGGTCTCGTTTGGGTTCCATGCCTTACGCATTTGTTTTTGACAGATTTATTGTCCTACACAACTTTGGTGTATCACCGCGATAGTTCGCTTGGGAAGTTTTGTTTTTTTATTGTTTTTCTTTATTATTTTATGGTATTTGGTTAGTATTGTCTTTCTAATGTTTCTATTGTTACTGCAAACATCATGATGTTTGTTTTTTTCTAGAGTTTAAGCAGTTTGCCTTTCTTAGGGTTTTAAAGATATCTGTCGTGTTTAATTTGCAAATTATGTGTTAGGTCATGCATATGCTTAAGGTTACTTATCATTTTTTTTGCGGATGGCCACTTCCCCTCGTTCGACCTCTTTTTGTTTGTCTAGTGAAAAGCGTCCAACGACAAGCTGAAACTTGTCACTTAACTCTTTCTTATCACTTAACACTTCACTCTTTATTGACCGGTACACTATTTTAGTTTGCACTTTATGAAAATTGTTTGTACCACTATAATTGGTTTGCAAAAAATTATTTGTTGGTTTTAAACTTTAAATTTTTACGTTTTAGGAACTCTCGCTGCTACATTGCGTCATGCCTTGTCAAGTGCTGGAATCTGACTTTTACATTTTTATTTACTTTTATAAAAAATTTAAATTAATTTAATTATTTTTTTTACAGTGCGAATGCGCTAGTAAATTTAAAATATAACTAGTTTTTTTATTGTTTTGTAATTTTTGGCCGGGACATTCATCCGGCAACACTGTATAATATAGTAATGAAAGCAGCTCGAAGCAGTCGAACTCATAAAAAAATATGGTTGATCTAGATCAACCATATTTTTTTATGAGTTCGACTGTCGACCATATCATGCCTATGCGTTGCGAAGAATTGTTATAGTTATTATACCTTATGTACTAAATCAACAAGTGATCTGTATGTACACAAACCAAACGTAATTACGTATCTCCCAAGTGTTATTAATTAAAATAAAGCTTGTTTACCTATATTGTAAACATTGCCTCCATGTTTTTATAAGCCTTATAACAACGCAAAAACAGTCTTTATAAATACTTTTCATTGTGCTTTCTTTTCAAATAATCAAATACAACATCTCTGATATAACATTTACATAAAAATCTCGATAAAAATTGTTCCTAACTATGTAACATGTTACATAGTTAGGAACAATTACCTATATGTAAAGGCAATGCTCCTCAAGACCCCTTTCTGGTTATGAAACTGTGATATAAAACAGTGTTTTCTCATAGTTATGTATTAGTAATTATGTAACTGTAATGTAACAGCGCCATATCATAGTTATGTAAACGTGATAATACAATTATATTCCCTTTACATAAATGTTGAATTCTATTTACTTAATATTTATAAAATATTTCATGTAATTTATCTTACTGGTATTAAACATTCCTTAGCTCCAATTTGATATTATGGTCCTTTTAAAATTGTGTTGTTTTATTTTTTCAAAAAAATTGCACAAATTTTACTACTGTCATAGTATTAAGTTGTTGCTAAAAATATTCTGTGCAAGTTGACACTACATTTATATTAATGTAAAATAAATTGTAAAACAATAAATAAAAAATGCATTTATTTAATAATAAATCACTTTCAACATTGATACTCAACGTTTTTAAAATCGAACAAGTACATGTTTGATTAGAATAAAAAGTAGGTAAGTAGTAAGGCTGTCAATTCCTGAAGTAATAAACGGTTAACCGGTTCGACCACTTTTGACCGGTTTCGGTTTTAACCGGATTTTTTAAATTATTATAACCGGTTCGGATATCCGGTTAACAGGTCCCATTAACCGGTTAACCAGTCCGATCTGATCAAACCGAGCCGGTCGAGCCGGACCGGTTAGACCGGATCGGCGGTTTAAGCCTAACCGTGACCAGTTAAACCCGTCACCGATTCATCCGTAACTGGTTGAACTGTAACTGTCAGCGGTTTAATCGTATCTAATTTTTTGTTTTTTTTTTAAAAAGGGATCACTTCACTAACCCTTTCACCTTTCTTTACCCGTGACAACCAGGCAGCAGTTCATGCTTGAATTTTTAAAATAGATACTCAATAAAAATGAAATTAGAATAATAAAAATACCACAAATTTTACTTTTAAAAGTGCTCTTTTACAAAAGTGCTATTTTAGTTCCACCCTTAAGGGTGTAATTACTTCTTAAGAAGTCCTATAAGCCAACTGAATGGCTTATGCGGGTTAGGGGTAGGAACGGACCGCGGGCTTAAAGTCCCCTCCGAAGGACTATGTGCCGTCGCTTTGGGCATAAATTCGATTCGATATTTTTCTTCAAGTATAAAAAACATTCAAAATAAATTATAGTTAAGTGATGAAACATAATATCAAAACTCCCTATTTTTTTTATTATTGAGTTTTGATGTAAAAACATCAATTTATCACCATTTTCCGGCAGCAAGCAGTTTCTTTTCGCCGAAACTATGTTGCCTGCACTGGAAAACGTGAAAAAACTATAGATTTTCTTTTTTTTAATGTTTATATTTGTTTGTATTTTTTTAATAAAAAAAACTTTTAAATGTTTAAGTTTTAAAAACATCAATGTTTATCAATATTGATTTTTTCACTTCGATATTTTAATGACATCGATATTCCCTTGCGGCCTTGAGTTTACGGTGAATTCACAGTGAATTCACCGTTTGCGTGAATTCACCGTG